CCAAGCCACTGACCAGTATCAATTTGATTATAAAACGCAATACTATGTATTTGAAGTTAGATCCCACTTGGGTAGCAACACAATAGAATTTGCTGTGGTTTATTTTTAAGAATGTATGGTTTTATCAAAAGGAAAGTGCATTATTTTTCTATTGTTTTTAAAAAATGTACACCTGGCAAGCTATCAAAAAGACATAAATGACCATTGACAGTTTTTGATAGTTTTCATTCCCTAAAAACAATATACAAAAATACATGTACCCTTCTCTTGTTACTGTGCATTCTTTAGAATAAAACAATTTATCAATTTTTGTTGCTATCTACATCATTGATCTTATCTTACTTACAAATATTCTGCTGTATTCAAATTCAACGTTCTGGACTGGACAGTCACCTGTAGTGCACTGACAGCTAGACTAATTATAGCCCACTCAGTCACTTACATCAACTCACACTCATGAGGTCAATGCAACCAACTCTTTTTGTGGTTACTATTACTTGGCTATATAACAACACATTTTAACCAATAAGGGCCAGGGTCATTGTGAACCTGGTTGAAGTTTGCAAAATTCACAGTTTGAATAGTCAACACAAAAGAAATAAAATTTTCCAGATTAGATCATTGACCATTTACCTGTAATAAGAATGTGTGTGATTTAAGTAAGATAAAGCATTCGAATTCGATTTGATAAGAAATAATAAATCTCATTCTTATGCTTTATCCAGTACATAATTCAACTACTAGCATGCAGTTGGACGACACATTGAAAAAACCATTGTTGTTTACCAAACTTTATATCAAAGTGGTGTAGCGATATATGACGTCATCGCACTACTTGTTTCTGGTCCGTTGGCTACGATCTTTATGAGGTCCAATGAAACGGGAAGCATTTAAACATTTGAAAATAAAAGTGACGGATAGAATTCTACTGATCTCTTCTTTCCAACTATCTCATTTTAATGTTAGAAAAATGCACATAAATGGGAGTAAAATGCAATCAAACACGTGAGACTTTCACTCATTTTGTACCCTATATTCGTGCGAAATTAACATTGATTAAACATAATACTTTTAAATGTCTGAATCGCTTGAAGTCCCCATCTGAAGTTTGAAAATATTTTTTTATCAATCATTTACTATTTGTCAGGACTTAAAAAGTGATTTTAGAGATTTTTGAACAAAAAATTTTTGTTTCAAAAAAGTTGTGAGCATTTCATTTCTCAAATATTCAAATTTCCCGCCATTTTTCCAGAAAAGTTGAAATTTCTTAATCATCAAATATTTCTTAATGCATTTCAAAAAAGATTATCTTTTTAACACCAATGCAAAGATTGAACAAAGGACACACTATTTCAATAATAAAATGCCATATTTAATGGGCCACTTCAATGTTTTAGCATATCAAAAATATTTTGAAACATTAGTGATGTCACTAAGGTACCAAAAACTTTTTGAAAAAAATGAAATTTTTTTTCGATGTCAATCTTTTCTAAATATGTTAGACTTTCATAAAAAACCAATGTTGATTGTCTAACCAGGTTAAAAGGAAGAATAAATTATGTTTTAGATATCATTGTACCATTGGTTTCTATGAGAACTAAAATTTTGAAATGCATTTTTCTCAGAACCATTTTCATGCACTGATAAGTTCATTTCTCGCTTATTTATGAATCGATTTTCTTATTCTTTTCGGCAAAAAACATGGGAGGATGAATGCTATACATTGGTATGAATTGTGGCTAATTAGAGGATATGAGTGATCTCTAAAAGTTGGTTTTAAATAAATTCACAAATTTTGGAACAAAAAGTCTATCAAAAACCACTTTTTAAAAATTTAAAAAAAAAGTTTCACATATCACACTTTGATAACATTGGGTAAGACTACAATATAAGCCAAAGTGGTTTAAACTTTATATGGGGCCTTTAAAAGTTAAAGTAAATACGATATTCTATAAGTACCAAATATCAATCAGTTCCGATAAAATGCCTTCATTTGTTACATTTTTTACGAAAACGGCTGGGCATAATTTCGGTAGAAATGTGTATTTTACGACGTTATATGCATGGTTGAATCCAAAAAGCAGCGCCATTCAGGAAATGATCATGTGTGCGTAAAATCATGTGGATATTTCATTTTGAGTAACTGAATTATCAAATTGACATATATATTGTCTTTGGAACATCACCTTTACACAGAATTATTTTCATAATGATTGCTCGATTTGTTCCATGATGAAATGCAATTTTAGACCTGGAGCTGACTCGTATCAAAAAGTATTTAGCAATGAGTTCAGGCTCACTGATTTTAAAGATAGATAAAATGTACGAAAGGGAAAAGGTTATGTGTGCCTAAAAGCATGTGGATATTTAACTTTCAATAAATGAATTACAATTTTGATGTTTATATAATCTGAAGAACATTACCTTTACACATAATTATTTTTTATGATAATTGTTCGATTTCTTTCATGATAAACTGCAATTTTAGACCTGACACGAATTAAAGAAGTATCGGACAATGTATTTAGGCCCACTGATTTTTAGGATAAATAAAATGAGCAAAAGAAGAAAAGGTCACGTGTGCGTAAAAGCGTGTCAGTATTTGGATTTGAAGAAATGAATTAAAGTTTTGACATTAATATTATTTGTGAAGCATCACTTTAACAAAGAATTATTTTTATAATTTTTGCTTGATTCCTTCCATGAGAAAATGCAATTATAGACCTGGCACGCGTATCAAAGGAGTATTTGAAAATTGCGTCCAGTCTCATTGGTTTTCAAGGTAAATGAAATAAGCAAAACTTTTATAATTTTTGCTTGATTCCTTCCATGAGAAACTGCAATTATAGACCTGGCACGCGTATCAAAGAAGTATTTGGCAATTGCGTCCAGTCTCATTGGTTTTCAAGGTAGATGAAATAAGCAAAACTGGAAAAGGTCATGTGTGCGTAAATGCATGTCAGTATTTAATTTTGAAGAAATGAATTAACTTTTTGACATTAATATTATTTGTAAAGCATCACCTTAACATAGAATTATTTTTATAATTTTTGCTTGATTCCTTCCATGAGAAAATGCAATTATAGACCTGGCACGCGTATCAAAGAAGTATTTGGCAATTGCGTCCAGTCTCATTGGTTTTCAAGGTAAATGAAATATGCAAAACTGGAAAAGGTCATGTGTGCGTACATGCATGTCAGTATTTAATTTTGAAGAAATGAATTAATTTTTTGACATTAATATTATTTGTGAAGCATCACCTCTACGCAGAATTATTTTTATAATTTTTGCTTGGTTCCTTCCATGAGAAAATGCAATTATAGACCTGGTACACGTATCAAGGTTGTATTCATTTGCGTTCGGTCTCCTTGGTTTTCAAGGTAAATTAAATGAGCAAACTGGAAAAGGTCATGTGTGCTTAAAAGCGTGTGAGTATTTAATTTTTGATAAATTTTTTGACATTTTTGACATTTATTATATCTATTGGGAATCATCTTTACACAGAATTATTATTTTTATTCAAATTTAGTTCCTTCTATTAGAAAGGCATGGCTAAGATTGGTTCTTATGTACAACTGTAATGAGATTTTTATGTTTGAATCGCACAAAAGGAGAAAATGTCACATGTGCGTGAATGCATGTCAATATCTTTTTTTTAAAACTGAATTATGATTTTGACATTTTCATAAGCTTTAAACCATTGCCTTTCCACATATTTATTCATTTTAACATGAGAACTTTAAACACGTTCATAACTGAACGGTCAATGTTAGTTGAATTAAATAAAAAATATCAATTATCTGCGCATTTTCGTTATATTACGTCATACGGGATTTCGTGCTTCAAGTGGGCTGAAAGTGGAAATGGCACGTGTGTGAAAACGTTTGTTATCAATTCATCTTTCAAAACACATTTTTATTTTTTACATATCTATGATCTATGATATATAACCTATGTAAAGAATTATTTTCAAATTAATTGCTAGGTTAATTCAATAAGCAATTCTGAGGTATATTTGAACTTTAATTCCATAGCAGATGTAATTCGGACAAAAGTTTTAAAATTCAAGAAGAGATTAAATCAATCAAAATAAACCTTATAATTCAAACAAGTCGACAATACTTGGTTCAGTACTTTCATTTTCAATCATACCACGGTCATAGATTAACATAAGTGACCGTTCGAAAACATACCATTTTTGTAGAAAATGAAAGAAAATCGCGTTATAACATGTATCGAGTAATTGTCAAGTTCACGTCTTAAGTTTGATGTGGTAAAAAGCATTCTTCATTAGTCCACACATTTAAGTTAAGGGAAGCCAGGATCATTTTAAAAATGAAACATTTGAATATATATTTTTAACATTGAAATACTTTTAGAAAGTAAGCTTATACTAGTAGATTTGCTAGAACTAGCTGTTTGGAATCCATCAACTTTTCTCCACAGGATCATTTCGTAGTACAAATGCAGGTCATTCAAAGGAAATATAGGTTTCAACATCCCCGTCTATGAATATTGATCTTTTTCAGACAGCAAAGGTAAGTTTAAAACAGAAATACTTCTTACGAATCCAAATTACATTTTAAACTTAGAATTGTGATCTACGATCTTATGGGTATGTCACAAATTTGATAAGATACATTCACTCAGCAGGCCGTTAAACATGTAATTAACTTTACAAGCGTAACTGTGGGTAACTTCGATTTTAGTATATTCAAGTTCAAGTTCTGTAGTCTCGAGAGTCAAACGATTATCATAGTTTATTTGGCCTGCTTTTAGAATTGGGAAAACAAAGGCAAGGTTTATGTTTTATGAACATTCCGATTTGATAGCAAACTTTATTTTTGAGTGTATTAAATCAAATAAAGCCTGCTTAATGCGTCGGGACCTGTACGTTCGCCCAATTAAAGGCAAATGTGCCGTCAATTAAAGAAACATGCACAGTGGTACACCGTTTTTGGAAAACATAACACTGATAATAAAAATTCATCAATTGTTATGAAATTTGCACCATCATTAAAAAGAATCTCGAATTTCATGATGACAAAATATCGGATAAATATGACAAGAAATAAAAATTTGTTACATTTTTTCCCAAATAGTTGTAAAATAAAAATAAACTAAAAAATAATATTTTCACGACTAAAAATAAATAGTTCAACTGTATTGATTATACATGACGTTTTCAAAGAGTAGAGAGCTAGATTCAAAGCACCGTTCCTGCAAGTTTCAAATGAAAATATTAAAAAACGCGCGCGTATGAGAACCGCAACTTTCTATGTTTGCACTGACAAAAACTTGAAATCCCCGCTGTAAAGATATAGTCCCACGCGGATGTGCACGTCATAAAACTGATGGGTTAAGGCAATGTGTCGTCCTACTGATGTATTGTGTAAAATCAGCACCTGCATTATTCTCAAAATCATTAGTTCAGTCAGAAAACTGGGATATTGGTTACATAGTAGCTATGTTACGACGAAATATGCACGCGCTAGTGGTTATCATCTGTGTGATTTTGCTCACGAATGAAATTACAGGAGCTTTGGCTGTGGTAAGTACAAATTCAAAAGCGCGTATGCTGTTAGCTTGTCATAATCTATTAAAATTTACAAGTTATACAAAGGCCAATCCAGAGGTTCTGATAAAAATGCTGTATCCTTTTCTTAAAGGGGCAATAAGGACTGTCGAGAAAATAGGAAAGTTTTTTCATTTTTTCTGAGCTATCAAGGCAACATTTGGTTTACATCTTCTTTGACATACCTATTTTCTTAAAATGTATGGATAAATTATCAATTTCAGCATTAAGAAGCATTAAATTCAGTTCAAAGCTTCAAAAAGGGGACTTCCACTTTTATATTTTTAAGATCCACCATGTTTCAAGAGGAATATCAGCTAAATTAATGTTTGTCTAGGGGGTTTCTTTGTAGATAATAAAAATAGATGTTAGTCTTGATGAAATATCCAAACTTAAATATATTTTGACACTGGTCCATGATCGTTGAATGACCCCTCTCCACTAATCATTGCACCTTTAAGTAAAGGAAATCATCTGAAATGTTGACATAATGTATATGCCTATACAGCAACGACTTTTAAAAATGATTGATCAACAGGAAATTCTATAATCACACTTTTACTACCCCATAGAGGCACTTGGTCCAGGACTTGAGCTCATATTGACGTCATAACTTATACTGAACAACTGAAAAGTTAAATCCAACTGTGGAATCTTATTTGAGATAAACTTCAATGAAGATACTCAAAAAATGTCCTTCTGCATTAAAACACTGCATTAATACATTCAGGTATCTATCTAGGACACACTCGGACAACAAAATCATGGGCGTAGCGCTATTTTTCTAAGTAGTACGCCACCACCACAGGAACAGGAGTTGAGTGAATCCAAAAATGAGCATACAGGGGGTCTGGGAAAATTTTGAAATTTGGTTGTATTTGGGGCGAATTTGCAACCATCTGGTACGCCTGTGTGTACCCAGCGTACCGGGCGCTACGCCCATGAAAATACTAGAGCTCTTAGCAAATCACATCTGCGTATCATGCAAAATCTTATAACAGATCATTGCCCTAAACATTGTCCTCATTGAGGCATAAGCAGTGAGCTTACCTAATATGTACAGTTATAATTGATTTATATTATTTCATATTTTAGGACGATCGGCTCACTGAAGAACAGATTGCAGGTTGGTTTCTTTATCTAAATATTTCACGGTGTATGTTTCATTTGCATGTATTAATATTATGTACTGTTATTTGAAAATCATTGTGATATCCGAAAAGTAATGTTCAGTTTTTTGAGGTGTTCATTGACACAGGTTAAACTGTATATCAAACGTTTAGGTTTTATTTTCAGAGTTCAAGGAAGCATTTTCCCTCTTCGACAAGGATGGTGATGGCACAATCACAACCAAGGAGTTGGGAACTGTCATGAGATCATTGGGACAGAACCCCACAGAGGCTGAGCTTCAGAACATGATCGACAAGGTTGATGCTGATGGTATGACAATATTTAACATGACTGCCAGTTAGAAATGGGAATGTATTAACTTGTACTGACAATACTGTACTGTAACAATACTGAAAAAGCTGCGTCTATATATAAACTGAAAATTGGTCTTGGATCGATTGGAGAGGAACAATGTTTTGAGCCCTAAGTTTTTTCATCTGTTGGGTTAGGTCTACCAATGGTATCAAATTCAACTAGTACAATTAACTGAAGAGGTAGTGCTTAATCTGCAAAGGGTTTGCATTATAGATTTACGCAAAACCTGACATGACAAGACTTCATTTTAGTTAATTATTTCTCAAACAAATACATCTTGTCATCCTTTTGTAATACACTAAAACCTGTTTAACCCAAACACCACTAAGACTACCCAAAAGAATTCAGATTGGCATTTGTTCACATTTCATTTTCATCGAGAGGTGTCTAGATATACATATATATATGTATAAGATATATCTTGTTCAAGTCCAAATTATTCCATGTTTAACATCATGTACTTACCCTTTAAGGTAATGGTACAATAGACTTTCCAGAGTTTATAACAATGATGGCTCGTAAAATGAAAGACACTGATAGTGAGGAAGAAATTAAAGAAGCATTCCGTGTGTTTGACAAAGATGGCAATGGCTTTATCAGTGCTGCTGAATTACGGCATGTAATGACAAATCATGGTGAAAAACTTACAGATGAAGAGGTAGATGAGATGATCAAAGATGCAGATATTGATGGAGATGGTCAAGTGAATTATGAAGGTAATAAGAGTCATTCATTCTTTATGCTTACGCTTGTAGCTGCTTCGGTTTTCTCTTTAAATTATATCAATTTAAAATTGAGATTTTATTTTAGTTTTACTTGGCTTTTATTTGTACATAGCTTGCCAAGCTTGTAGCATTTTCAACTCGCTCATGTCTTAACCATCATTCCTCACGTTTGTTAGCCTTATTTGTTTAATTATACCAGAGACAGCATATGTTTATATGCCTCTGATTATACGACGTAATTGTATGAGTTTAACTACCCTTAGCTTATAAATATTATATTTTATTCTTTATTACACTTGTTTTAATTATTTGATTTTTATTGGTATTTCAGAATTTGTTAAAATGATGATGTCTAAGACGTAAACCCCTACAGTTACAAGTTACAGCAACTGAACTCATCGACGGACATTAAACTCCAAATATATGTCTCCATTCAATCATCTCACAGGTCATCCGTATTTCACTGTTGTTTTTGTGTAAAGTGTTATTAGTACGTCAGTCATGACCACTGAGTCTCGCGTGTCTTGAGTTTAATCTAAATATATTTAAATTGCAACAACTTCATTGTATAAAAGTACAGGGTGGTCCAAAAATGGGACACTCGCATTTCAAAAATAAATATTGATTTTCTTGATGAAAACATGTCATTTTATAAACCAATGGATAGGGAATTTACTCATCTTTAATTTGGTATATGATAAGTTCAAATCTATTATAATATCTGTCAACCAGCGTCAATATAAATGACGTCATTTTCGTTTCAAAACAGGTTTTCCAAAAATTGCAAAAACCAAGTTTTATTGTCAACTTTATTTACATAAACAGACATTCAATATGTCTACCATTTTAATCAATTGTAGCCCTCAATTTTGGCCTAAACTGGTCAATAGCATCATTGATATCATGCTATTGAGACAATGAATTTCACTTCTCAATAATTCTATCCTTTAAGAGACTGAATAGATGTAAAGGATTTATGGCACACTAATTCTGTTAGTTCTCCCCATACGTGGTAGTCGCAGATGTTGGGTGATCGGGTGATCTTGGGAGGCAGTGATTAAGCGGGGATAAATCTAGGCATATTTTCTTTTAAACAATTGACACTCTTGTGGGATCTATTGCTTCGAGCCCCATCTTGTTGGAAAATGTAATGATTGGAAAATGAGCTCATATCAGGATGGTCCAAAAACGACATAATTGGATCATCCGATATCAACGTCTGCGACTACCACATATTGGGAGAACTAACATAATTGGTTTATCATGAACCCCTTATATCTACTCAGTCCCTTATTAAGGATAGAATTGTTGAGAAGTGAAATTCATTTTCTCAACAGCATATCAATGATACTATTGACCAGTTTAGGCCAAAATTGACTACAATTGATCAAAACAGTGGACATATTGAATATTTGTTTGTGTAAATAAAGTTGACAAAAAACTTGTTTTTTTGCAAGTTTTGGAAAACCCGTTTTGAAATGAAAATGACATTGTTTATATTATGGACGCTGGTTGACAGACATTATAATAAATTTGTACTTATGATATACCAAATTAAAGATAAGTGAATTCCCTATCCAATGGTATATAATATGACATGTTTTCATCAAGAAAATCAATATTTATTTTTGAAGTACGAGTGTCCCATTTTTTTGACCACCCTGTTTATTAGTTTTCCATTTATACACAATATTGCACTTGACAGTTATGTCTTGCTTTTGGTGGTCAGACCAGTGGTAAAAGTTGTAAGATAAAAAATCAACGCAGTACTACTGTCGATGAGAAATCTATAGATACATTTACAAAGACGAGCAACTTAAAACTGCGTCTATAATGGTTGCAAATAACATCAGTTTCTCAACCAACAAAACCTCCGTTTATACTAGTATGCAATAAGAAGACTAAAAATTAGATTTTAATTTAAAGGTACCAGAAACAAGATTTTTCATAGACCATTATATCATAGATTTCTTAAGAAAATAGTCAATCATCCTTTGATGGCATTTGATTAGGTCTTGCAAATTTGAACAAAATAGTGTCGGACCTAACATATGTAAAATATTTGTGTTATTTTTCAGTTGTCTTGCAGTTTTCTTGTCTTCTTGTGGTATTCTTTCCCAATACTCTACATTTGAATCTGAAAACCTTCAACAATCTATTTTATCTCTGTATTAAGATGAAACCTTTGTTAGTATATGTACAGTACCTGGGTGGTGTTTAGTTGTACATACAGGTAGTACTGTGTAATAACATCACTTTACAATTCTAGATTTTGTTACAACTTTACCTATTACTATTTCGAAGATGTCCCGCTCATCAAATAAAGATTGAAATATCCTAATATATCTTAATACAGGTCTCACATATTTAGAGTTTAAATTTGTATTGTTTCAAAAATATGAAACTAATTTACACATTTACATTTATATGGCTCTGTTCTAAACATAATATTGGACAATAAATTCTACATTTACTATTCCGTTGTTTATGTATTTTAGATTTACTATTTTTGTTGGTTACTACATATTGATATTCTCGATTGTGCAATATTGTTCACCACGTGACTTGCTTACTGACTGTAAGGCGCGAGCCCGGGTGCGCGAGGCTCTTTAATGACAATTTTGAATGAAAACTCTCCTTATTCTAAACCGAACACAACATGCATCTTTTTGAATAGTAAAAACTATTCTTTACTGGTAAATGCCTTTTTTAGCGGATAGCAAGGAAAATGAACAAAACATAAACTTACATGTATCTTTGTTCTTCTCAAGTCATTACACAATATTTGCAACAATTAATTATATGAAATCGGTATAAAAACAAGCGATACACAATAATTAACATCCTTGCAACAATTCTAGTATCATCATTCAAAAAATAATAATCTCATTTTTAGAAAAATATTAAGGGTTAATCTCTGTTAATACCTAAATGCCTTTTGAGCTTAAATATCATAAGTAAATTCAATTTGTATTGGTATACATGTAATAAGTTAATCCACTGATAATGTGAAAAGCATTGGAAGATAATTCTGTTCACTAAACAAACAAATCAAATGTTGACTGAAAATAATAAGAAGACTTGCAACAGCGCGAACATCAGTTCTAATATCGAGAACTAAGTTCCTTGCACACGAACCACGATTCTTACATCGCGAACGTAAAATCTTCAATCGCGCGCGCACCACCATTTCCTCGTTTCCGAGTATATTTATCGACATGATCTACAATATTATCAGCAACAAGTTAAATATGTAGGTATTATAGGCGAGTAGGCCAAAGAAATAAATTATGAGTTTAATAGTTCAACTGACCCTATGGGAAAATTTGGTATCATAGCAAAGCTCAAAGAATTGTCTATGTCGTGTGATAAATAATTTGTGTTGGAATAGGTGACGTTGTCATGGAAACGGGCGTTGAACAAAAGATGTCCTTAATAAGAATAAAAAGTACAGCACCATTGCAAGGGATATCTGGTTAAGTCAATGTGCAGCTTTGAAAGAATGGAAATTAAGGAATTGAAAGAATTTTAGTTTATCTTCAACATTTAACTCAAAATTATACATATTCTACTCTTTTTTGATTATTGTGATGTCATAATGGTCTATTTTGAATGAAAAACAGTTGGTCTCATATGAAATTATTAACACCATTAGATTGTGTAATTACAATTGCTTACAAATGTTACCTTTATGTATATCAAATGAAAGCTACTGCTCTCACGATCATTTTGGTATATAAATTGTAAACATTGATCATTTACTCTCTGAGATATTATGATATAAGGTGATTTAAATTTTGGCCTGAGTTACAGAAATTATCAGCAGTTCGGCATTATCGCAAATGACAAAATATTGGCGAATTTCCACCATTGTATACATTCTTATTGATATCATAACTTTAGTAGTATTTTGACCCTATGAGAAAAGTTGGTATCAATGCAAAGCTTTGACAACTGTCTATGATGTGTGATATATGATTAGTGTTTAAACAGGTGCCGTTGCCATAGAAACCGGCGTTGAGCAATAGGTATCCTTAATAAGATTGAAATACGGGCATTTCCAGCCAGTGATCCAAATATGTATATTTTATTAATAGCAATTGTGTGGGAATGACCAATTTTTATCAATCTTGAACTATAATGATTAAATGATTCTATATATTAAATTTTAAAGTGTTATTGTGACATCACAATAGCGGATTTCAAATGAGAAACAGTTTGCTTTACATGGTCTCCGTGAAACTGATATCTTCCATGATTACAATCTCAAAAGAATATGCACTTTATGGATATCAAATTAAAGCTAGTGCAATAACGAGTATTATGATAAGTAAATCAACATGATTTGATCAAGCTATGCCGTGGTTTCATGCTTTTGAATCTGGAGTATCAGTGGTTATAGACACAAAATACTGTATGAGAGGTCTGAGACTAACATCTTTTATGCATGTCCATATATGGCAAAAATATCAATGTTGCACTCCATAAGCCAATCATCCATGATAACTTAACATACTGTACGGCATGGTAACATGACCTCAAAAAGTCTGCAAAAATTTTCCTTCAATAAATTCATGATTATTTGAGGATTCTTTTCATGTAGTCGACTATAGGATAAGTATCAATCTTATATTGTGAAATATACTTTAAAAATAATTAACAATTTAATTTGTATACAATCAACAATTTTAAAGAATGATTTCATAAGAATTTATCATTCAATCAAGTTAGGAATACTGTGTTTATATAAATCAAATTCTGGTTCTGGCATCGCCTATTTGAAGGAGTTGCTATGTTTTAAATGGGAATTATTTGAGCTAAGGACAATGTCTATCAAGGCACAACCAGGGATAGGGCCTTTTATGGAACAAAAATGCGAACTACAATGGATAGGCCTTCTATGGAACAACCATGACCATGTAGTAATCTACAAGAGCTGGTACTGGGCCTTCTATGAAGCCACTGTCCCTTATTCTGAATATTGTAAATGCCAATCAGGACCTTCTATGCAGACACCACCATATGTATGGAAATCATTAAAATCTTATTTGGACCTAATTGTTCCATCATTGAAAAAACGAAGGCCCTCCTTCAAGGAACTGTCTTTGTTTTTTAGGTTTTTTATACATAGATTTATTCCTTGAGTTAACAATTATAGACCTGCAATTGATTGCCAAAGTTTTATAAAAAAAACATTAGCGGCAATTTTAGACAATATGAATAGGAATGCATTAACATTTAAAGATTCATCAAAGTAATCTTATAACTCATATAAGAAACTATAGTCCCATGGGCCAGGGATGCATGCAAAAATTAGCCAAACCAATCAATTTGGCTCAAACTTTGATCCACAAAATGGCTCATTAGTTCTATTAATTTTTCATTTAATGAATTATCTAAATCTTCATCACCATACAAAAGAATTGAATTTTGTCAACTGTGTTCAAACTCTGAACCAAAAGATGAAGATCTGTCTTTAGTCTTTTATGGTTCTACTATTTTTGATCTTCAAGGATATTCTCTAAGGCCAACTAGGAAGCACTATAAACACAACACTAATACCCTAATACCTATT